GTGGCCCATTCTGTTGTTACCAGCTTGGCTGCTCTGATGATCCAGGCTGGACAGGGGTCTAAAGAGGAGGTGGTGGCACAACAGCGTGCAAGCACCCTGTCCACCTCATTGGACGTCACAGGTTGGAAGCAAGTTAACCTCACCAGACAAGACGATCCACTGGACATCTCAGCTCAATGTAATGTCTGTAAAAAGGGATCAAGGTCCCAGCGGATGGTCTCCACTTTAGATTTTTAAAATGCCACAAATTTGTCATAGGAAATACTAGAGGGAGGCCTATCACTGTGGCCAACTCCGGATAGATTAATTTCCATTGATCACACATTCTGGAAATGAAGCAAACCAAAGCGATCCTATCTGCATAAAAAAAAAAGTAGAAGTCCCTGATAGGGGCCAGAAAGGCACAGATAGGACCACTCTTGGGGCAGGCAGAGTTGCTCCAGCTCTGATAGTTGTATTTAGGAGCAAACCAGCCTGTCCCTACAGTGGACCAAAGAATGGGGTATACACCCAAATAGTTACTCCCCTAACTCACAGTTGGCACTTGTAGAATATTGAAGGGTGTCATCTAACATTTATGGTGGCATACTATTTTAATTTCTGTTCTTCATTAATATGGACTACGATTGTGTGTTATTGTTTTATTTGTAAGCACTGAAGTGAAACAGAGCTATAGAATTTTTTTAAATTAAGTATGTAAAGAGATACTGCTCACTAGTTGGACAGCCAGAACTACTCTACCATTCCAGCAGCATTAAAAGTAAAGTTTAGCCCTGACAAAGTGACAGTAACCTAGCTATGACTTTGTTAAGTACAATAAGATCTACATATTCTAAGCAGGATAAAGTGAACACAATCGTAACATTTCAGTGAGTCAAACACGTTACCCTGTTGTCAAGTGCAGAAGAGATAAATGAGAGTCTCTCTCTCTTTCTGTTTTCTCTACCAGGTATTGTTGGAGACTGGAAAAACACAATGACTGTTGCCCAGAATGAAAGATTTGACCATGTGTTTAAGAAGAGAATGGAAAAGTTGCCTTTCAAATTCTGTGATGAATTATGAGTTGGAATTGACAAATCTGTCTAATTAGTCTTGTATAGAGTTTGATTTTCGGAAACATGCTGTTTCCCATCTAGTGTGGATTGTGTGTTGACATTGCATACTGCTTTTCCAAATTATCACTGGACAGGAGTGCACTGATGTTATAGTAAAGCAGAGTAAATCAACATTATACAAGGAAATTCTGAAAATGAGGTAGCAAGAATATGCTTCGATAAAAGAAGGCTAAGCTAAACAATGACTATGCATGTCCAGACGGAGGAATTGGGAGCTGTCTGGTTCAAACTTAAATGCTTTTTATCTCCAGTGTCATCTATTTCATCTCCCACTTGAGCGAACTTTCTGTTCACAATTGAAGTTTTTCTCCCATGAAAAAGGTCCAGACAGGTCAATTTGTCCCCTTTAAGATTCATGACCTTCCCTTTCCTGCCACATTCCCCACCTTTTCTTGCAGCCATCATTCAGCTGGTCATGTTGACTTTCCTTTTGTGATTGTTATTTAATAAATTAAATGACACAGCAAAACACCTAAATAGCATGGTACACATCACAATGCCAATGCATCTCATTTATCTAGAACAATGCTGTATCAATAGGAAAAAAATATATTTAAAATGTTAAATGTTAGAATAGATGAAAATAGATACTACAACCAAATAAAGAAAAAAAGGGGTCACCTCAGATAACACCACCCACAGCTCTGTTTTGGTGCAGAACAGCCGTCTGCATGAGCTACAGAATGGGCTAATTAAGAGTGCTCTGAATCATGCCAAAAATAGTGTAGCCATAGTACTGTGCCGAAAAGGAGCAGGGTAGTTCTAAAATAGGGCAGGATGGATTGCTCTGAACAGCACAAAAAGTCATGCCAATAGTGAGCTGTTCTGCCAGCGCACACTTCCTGCTTCTCTTCCTGTTGTGGCTTTGCTTTCTTGCAAGGCCAAGCAACTCCAGGTCCCACCCAGTCACATCTGCCTTTCCCTTCACTTTCACAGGGCACATCTTAAAGCAACAGCACCCGAACAAGAGTCAGGGAATGGAGGAGCCTCTTTTCGAAGCAGAATTAAATTAATCAAGACCAAGCTGTTGACGTGACCCTTTTTTAAATCAAAGTCTTCCTTTGACCTTACTTCAACCAAGTACTCTTAAACAAAAGGACACCAAAGTTTAAACCAAGCAGCCAGAGCTGTATGTTCCTGTGCATTTTCTTTCCATTTTCCCAGTCTTTGGTTTTTACATATATTGTTACATAACAAGCACTATTCTTTGTTGCTGGTCCAGGATTTGGTGGGAATATTATCAGCACCTTGAGCTCTCACTATCCTTAATGATGTTGCCATTGTCAACATGGAAGGAAGCTCACTACCAGGTGTTAATAACCATTTGTCATTTTATTTGATCCCATGCACACAATTGTCCCAGTGCCAGTCCCGTTCACACTCCCATGTACACTGTACATGCCCAAATACTGTGCTTCACATGTCAGAACAAGTTGCACATAACCTACAAAAGGAAAGAGTGAACAAATATGTGAGCCTTGAAGAAGTCACAACTTTTTTCATATGTGGTTGTTGAAACAGACTAACATGGCAACGTTTCTGAAGACCAGTCCTTATCTGATCTATGCAACAGGTATAACACAGATGATTTGTACTTATGATACACCTTGAAGCCACAGATGTGTATCATTAACTATCCTGTTAAACACCTTTCTGTGCCTTAGGTATAACAGAGGTTAAACCAAGATAAGGTGTAAGCCTAAGGCTCAGAAGATAGTACCATTGCAATGTTGGTCTGGATCTCCAAAAATGAGTGCACCAGAAGTAGAGAAGCTGGGCTTGGGAGTCTAGCGGCAGAAAACAACCTGGCAGGATGGAGAAAAAGAAGTAGGCTTCCATGCAGATTAAGTTTGACAGTGAAACGCCAGAGGTGAACTCTAGCCTAGAGGTTTACCAAAAAGGAAGTCAACTCTGGTATGCCTGCCTCAAGCAGGTCTTCATAAGAGGCTACTTAAATGTTGCTTGATGAGAGAAGGTATGACAGGCACCCCATAATTAAAAGGGAACCAGAACATGGTGGTTCAAACTGGGGATTTGTCATGGTATTGTCAATGGAGTTAAAAGGAATAAAAGGAGAAAATCAGTGAGTTGGAAGAAGAGACTGCCTGAACAAAGCCACACAACCACTGAATGCAGTTCTGAGTATCCGCTTCAGATCCTTTCTCTCTTTCTGGAAGGGTGAGTATGAGTGTGTGGACATCCCTCTTTGTTCCTGGCCAGCAGCGCTGTGCCTTCCATTAGCCTGAGTAAGGCCGCTGCCTCATGTGGCAGGGCACGAAGGGGCAAATGCACTCCTCCCACTCTGCCCTGGCAAGGCCACCACTGCTCTGGAGAGCTGCCCCTGCCACATGCATGCAGAGTTCCAGGATAGGCTACTTCATTTATTCTTCACTTGGACAAGGCCGTGCCACAGTGGCAGTTCCTGCACCTACGACCAATGCCCAACGAGGAGGAGGGGGCGGCACTGGTTCTGCAGCAGTGCTGCTAATGACATTCATGGATGCTGGAGAAGGCAAGAGGGAGGGAAACCTTTCTAACCAACACTGGAGGCAGCTCCCCGCCCCCTCCAAAAATGACTGGCTCTGAAGTTCCTCAAAGCCAGATGAACCCACTGGGACAGACTGAGAAAAACCATTGGTACTGCAGAACAGATGGTTTCCTTAGACATTTCTCCCATCTTGGGGAATAATATCTCTTAATCAGGTAAGATGTGAAAAGCAAATGCAGAAAAGGGAAATGGCTAGTGGGGAAGGCTAGTCCTGAGTTCTCATCTGCATGTTCGTTCCAGATGTATTGGGAAAGGAGGCTTCAGCCAAAGCAAAGTAAAACCAAACAGTTTTGTCAGGTAATCCCCTGCCGTTGTGCTTCATCCAGGATAACCCATAGACAGACTCACTGAGAACCGGGAAGTTAGTAACCTTAAGCCCTCTGCCTTAGACACTACAGATTTCCCACAACTGCTAGCATCTTGTCTGATGAAGAGTTAACATTATCAAAGGTTTGCTCATTTTTTTGTGTATCTGCACACTCTTTTGTGCCTTTTTGGTTGCCTTCTTCTATCAATGTGGAGTTTCTGGTTTGGGTTTCCCTGCCCAGCATTAGGGCAGGGATAATTTTCCCCCTCTCCTATTCCCCTATTAAAGATTGGTTTGGATTTTTTTTTAACTTTAACTCATAGAACTGCATATATCATTCATACTAGGAGATATAAATCATTGCTGGGCTCTTTACTCAGGCACTGTGCCATGGTTTTCATTGGTAAAAAAATCTGCATGTTCTCTCCACACTTCTCACAGTAATAGGAACAACTGGGGGGGGGATTGCTTTTTTAAAATGCAAAATTGGACATTTTCCATAAAACTAGGGTGGCTGCTTTTTAATGAAACTTCAGAATTTGAAACATTGGATGCATAGTTTGGGTCTTTCTTAAGCATCAGCCAGTCCTTCTGTGATTGCTGTGTGCATGCATACATATACATGTGCACGTGAGCACTTTGCTTCTTAAGGAAAAAAGGACACTGAAGTTTTGTGCTAATATATTTTGCACAAATTATAGGGACTTTAATAAAAATGAAAACTCCTAGTCTCATGCTGGGCTGGAGGGCTGGAATCTTGATGGGCTTTCAGACAGTCTAAACCAACAAAGATGAGTGAGCTTTGCTCACATCCCCGTCTTTACTACACTGTCACTGCATTTGATAGAAGATGGGTGGGTTTATGTACAGCTAGATTGATTAGGATAAAAAAGGAATGGCTATTTAGCCATTGTTTCTACAATTCTTTCCAGCATGTCTAGAAAGGATTGCTGAGCCACTTCCTAGTCTATCTTTTTCTCTGTCCATGTGGAGAATGAATTGTCTGTGGTAGGAATGTGGAGAGAACTTTTAAAAATTCCTTGGCAAGACTCTCCCTTTTGCACAGGAATTGTAACAATTCTGCACGTATGAATATTTATTCTGGAGAGAGAAAAAATGACCACAGAAAGAACTGGGAAATCCTGGAAGATCTCCCGCAAGGTTTCACATCCCCAAATGTGTGATGGAACTTTGTAGAAAACTCTGCCAAATCTGAACCAGGAAACATGAGGAGACATCATGCAGGGGCTTATGCTCAGGCTAATCCGCAGCCAAAAGTTTCTGAACTTTCCTCATAGCAAAGCCAGAAGGCCTCGAGGAAAGAAGTGGGTTATATATTTCCAGGAATGGAGAGTTGAATCACAGGACTTGCTGTCAAGTTGGGCTTACGTTGCACCAGTGACTTGACTCGGGCTCAACTTGGTGGTGTTTATTTTTTTTTTCAATGACTTGGACTTAACTTGAGATTCGGAACCCACCTACCCCTCCCCTTTTTCAGGGGAAAAAGGCTTGTTTTTAATAGGGACACAGTCTTGGGGCTTGGAACTTGGAACTTGGAATCAAAGACTCAGACTCAGACTTGGGACTCAGACCCAAAGGCTTGCCGACATCTTTGCCTTGGCTACAAGTCAGACATAAGGATGTGCAAGATCTTATTAGGATCAAAATATTTGCTGTATAAATATACAGCAAAGGGACCTTGCCAACATCCCTGTATATTTCGGTCTGGGATGGAGGCAAATATAGTGATGAACTAGTGGAAAGAGAAGAGGGGGGGGAGCAAGAGAGAGTTGGTCACCAGAAATAAATGAAATGAGAGAGAAAGGGAAACTTGGAAATGACAGAAACAGGCCCAGGAAGAGCAGGTAAAGAGACAGAGAGAGCCTCTCCTGAAAGGGCTATGTACTGTATGTGGAGTTTTGAAGTTTGGAGAAAACATCAACAAAATAAAGGGAGAAAAAAGGGGTCATGAGAAAACTTTGGGCATAGTTGACATTCTTGAATTATGTGTGTTGCCCCAGATTGATGGGAAAACAGAACACACCAACTCAGTATCAGATTGGAACATATGTCCTTTTTGAGATTATGTTCACCCTTTTTTCCGTGTTGGGTAATGTGACTTGTCTTGGTTTTTTAATGGACCATCTCTATGTTAATAGACGAGGCTGGTTTCCATCCTTTCTGTCATGTCACCAATCTGAAGAAGAAATCTCATATATCTCCACCTCATTTGCAGAATCAAGGCGTTGTGCTATGACCTCTTAGCCAAAGTAACATTTCCATTTAGAACTGTTTATCTTTTATACCTACACATTGGTGGATGGGGAGGACGGTGGGCTGGGTTTTCCAGGGTTCAGCCAATGTCATTTTATTAGGCTCCAGTTTCTCATGTGAAGGGCTAGTTTTGGGAAAGTACAGTTCTGAGCCCACAAGATTTGCCCGGATACTTGTTCTGTGGTAGAACAAACAAACAAACAAACACGCATGCACACGCGCACACACGCGCGCGCACACACACACACACACACACACACACAAGTGAGTGATAGACATCAAAACTCAACAAGGCACTCAGCTCTAAAGAAAAGGTAAAAGCGTTGGTGAGTAGAAATTACCGTTACAAAACTAGGATGAAAAGTAAAAATGTGACAAGCTTCAGTGACAAGCTAGCCTTCCTGCACCCTTAAATGATACAAGATACCACAAGGAATTATCACATCACTCTGCTCTGACAGGAGACAATGAGGCACTGGAGCAGCACTGACTATCCAAAGGGTTTGAATAAACCTGTATACATTACTTTATTGTTTCTTATTCTTTTTTAATTATTAATTTTAAATGTTATTAACATCCATAGTGTGACAATGCAAGCTAGAACTGTAGTACAATACTATCACATTACTTATTGTTTCTTATTCTACCATAATAAGGGGAAGACCGGAGTCCCTTTCTGTACTGTTGTGTCAGCAGTATTGGCAATGCAATCACCAAATCCACATCTGTTTGAATACAAAGGATCCTACTTTGTCAAAGATCTGGTCACACCAGAATACCTGGATTCACTGGAAGATTTTGAAATCAGAGATAGTGATGTATATCTGATCACATATCCAAAATCAGGTAAGACAATCTGAAGACTTTTTCCTAACAAGAGCCAGGCATCTATCAGAACCCTGAGACAGTTTCAACCAGCCACTGCTGGCATGACGGGGTTTTAGGTGGTCATTTCATGTATCAGTGTTTTTATGAGCTGAATAATTAGGCAACATGATCAAGAACTGCTATTTCTAAACACAGTAGCATCTCAGTTTGCGAACATCTCAGTTTACATAATTTTCGTTTTACGAACCGAAATCCATAAGAAATAAAGTTCCGGAGTTTGCGAACATCTCAGTTTACATAATTTACATAAATTTCTTATTTCCATAAGAAATAAAGTTCTGTTTTACATTGTTTTCTTTTTCTTTTTCTTTTTTTCACACTACAAAAGGGTTTTCTCAGGGTGCATTGGGCCTCTAGAGCTGCCCCTTTGTAGCACAATTGGCATTTCGGTTTGCAAAATTTCCGTACTACATAACGTTGCATAGAATGGATCCGTTTCACAAACTGAGGTACTACTACATTTCATTGGCATTTCGGTTTGCAAAATTTCCGTACCACATAATGTCGCATGGAACGGATCCGTTTCGCAAACTGAGGTACTACTACATTTCTCATTCTCATTCTACCTACTCACAGGTAATAGTTGCCAGTCTCTTCAGCTCACTGTAAAAGGCCCTATTCTTGAAACATTTTGTTGTTTAGTTGTTAAGCCATGTCTGACTCTTTGTGACCCCATGGACCAGAGCATGCCCTCCTGTCTTCCACTGCCTCCCAGAGTTGGGTCAAATTCATGTTGGTAGCTTTGGCGACACTGTCCAACCATCTTGTCCTCTCTTGTCCCCTTCTCCTCTTGCCTTCACTCTTTCCCAACATCAGGGGCTTTTCCAGGGAGTCTTCTCATGAGATGGCCAAAGTATTGGAGCCTCAGCTTCAGGATCTGTCCTTCCAGTGAGCACTCAGGGTTGATCTCCTTCAGAATGGATAGGGTTGTTCTCCTTGCCGTCCAGGGGACTCTCAAGAGTCTCCTCCAGCACCACAATTCAAAAGCATCAATTCTTCAGTGGTCAGCCTCCTTTATGGTCCAGCTCTCACTTCCATACATCGCTACTGGAAAAACCATAGCTTTGACTATGCGGACCTTTGTCAGCAAGGTGAGGTCTCTGCTTTATAAGATGCTGTCTAGGTTTCTCATTGCTTTCCTGCCAAGAAGCAGTTGTTTTTAAATTTTGTGGCTGCTGTCACTATCTGCAGTGATCACTGAGTACAAGAAAGTAAAATCTGTCACTGCCTCCTTATCTCCCCTTCTATTTCCCAGGAGGTGATGGGACCAGTGGCCATGCTCTTAGTGGGGCATGGGACCAGTGGCCATGATCTTAGTGGGGCTTTTATGTTGAGTTTCAGACAATTTTTGCACTCTTCTCTTTCGTCCTCATTAAGAGGTTCTTTAATTCCTCCTCACTTTCTGCCATCAGAGTAGTATCATCTGCATATCGGAGGTTGTTGATATTTTTTCCAGCAATCTTAATTCCGGCTTGAGATTCCTCCAGTCCAGCCTTTTGCATGATGTATTCTGCATATAAGTTAAATAAGCAGGGAGACAATATACAGCCTTGTCGTACTCCTTTCCCAATTTTGAACCAATCAGTTGTTCCGTATCCAGTTCTAACTGTTGCTTCCTGTCCCATATATAGCTTTCTCAGGAAATAGATAAGGTGGTCAGGCACTCCTATTTCTTTAAGGACTTGCCATAGTTTGCTGTGGTCCACACAGTCAAAGGCTTCTGTGTAGTCAATGAAGCAGAAGTACGTAGATGGTTTTTCTGGAACTCTCTGGCTTTCTCCATAATCCAGCACATGTTAGCAATTTGATCTCTATTTCCTCTCCCCCTTCGAAATCCAACTTGTACTTCTGGGGTCCACATACTTCTTGGTCCACATACTGCTGAAGCCTGCCTTGGACGATTTTGAGAATAACCCTGCTGGCATGTGAAATGCTAGCGTGTGAATTCTTGAAACATACAGGGATGTAATCTAGAATGAAGGAGTCGAATCAAAGTATTTTGGTGGGATTATTAACTGCTTTCTTGGAGTCTTTACTGTCACTTATATTTTCTTTGATAATATGTTGAAAATACTCTGCCAAAACAGAAAAAGGAAAAGAAAAGCTATGTGATCCTTGTGCACAATCCAAAGTCAATAATAAAAAGACACAAATGTAAGGTAGTTAAAAATATCACCCTTGCCTTCAATGCTACTTTAATTGTGTTGTTTCTTGACATTTGAAAATTCTTCTCCTTCCAAATCTCTTAGAATCTACCATTTCTAAGAGATTCTTTGGTTAAACCTCTGTAGGCTAAGTGCAGCCCACCAATGTCCAGGATCAGACCTAGCAGGGCTGGAGAGAAAACCTATCAATTGTCTCTTGATTCCTATGCCTTCCTGTGTTCCCCATGTGTTTTTTCTCTCCATTGGGAGGATTAGTCAGAGATAAGATGGGGATTCTTCCTGTACCTCCTTCTCCTTGGGTTTCATCTAGCAATGCAGCAAGAGTCTTCTGTTTCATGAGGCCATACAGAACCAAGACAAGGTGATCCCCAACAGGCATTCTGCCTTCCACATTTCAGAGCAGGATTTAAAGAATCAAGCCAAGCATGAGTGTATGAAGGGTACATTGTAAGCAAACATAGTTTGTGACATTACACAATATTATATGTGATTGCATAGCAGATGGATTAGGGCATCAGCTTTAACTTCCTATTTCACCTCTGGGAAGCTTGAGCCAACATAAGATACCCTCTAGCCTTATACTGGCGGGTTTCTTGCCATTCACTTTTCACTTTAAGGCACAGAGAACCCTTCAAATACTTCCTTGCCATCTGGCACAGGTCCCCAATGACAGTGCAGCACCGCCAATGACAGTGCAGCACCGTACCTTTGTAGAGGCAGCTGCTATGGAGCTTCCCATCTAACATGATCTGGTCCCTGACTGGGTGGAAAGACAGGCAATGAAGGTCAGCAGATTTCTTCTTGGGTGGTGTAACCTGTGCTGAGGAACAAACTGAGAAACAGGCAAGGTTAGAATCACATCCTTTTGTCCTAGAAGAGCACTATTAACATTGCTTTTTGTAGCCATCCTTGTCTTCTGTGATCAAAACTGCTAGAAAAACTGCCAGCACATTCTGTATGGAAGAGACTCCACATCAGTGCTGTAGCACTGAGTTACAGTCTCCAAAGATATAACAATCAAAAAGATAATAAATTAGTGAGAGGCCTTCAGCTCCTAATGTCATACACCAGGTGGCACACAGAAAACAACCAACTGTGTAGGTGCAAATAAGGGCACCTATTTACTGGCATACTGGAGCTGGCATTCATTATGAAGTACACAAATGCCTCAGAAAGAATTAATGAACTACCTCTATTTTCACAGGTACAATGTGGACTAGGAATATTTTGAGCTTGATTTATTATGACGGCTATCGGAATGGAACTGAAACCATTACTTCAACAAACGACATTCAAAGTGTGGAATACAATATGCTGAAATTGAATTATTTAAATATCACATCACCTCGTCTGTTTTTCAGCCATTTGCCATACAATTTAGTACCAAAAGGATTAAGAAGTGGAAGAGGAAAAGTAAGACCTGTTGTTTTCACAAACTTAAGGAATTTAGAGTTTCTCTTGTCCTTCTATCTCACTTTCTGTTGACAATTGCTTATTACATTTCATCAAAGATATGGTTCTTTTGTGTGTATTCTGGGCTCATATCTGAGTCTCATGATTCTTAAGCAAAATCTAGATCAGCATTAGGATAGTCTGCGTCATGAGACTGACGGATCTGCTTGGTTTCCTGATGGCTCTTGGGGAGATTTTTCTCTGCTGCCATTGCATCTGCACAGTCATGAAGCTGAGTTGCTTTGCATGATCAGGGGCTGAATCCATGCCCCACCTTAAGAACAAGATGATAAGCCCTCAGCAACCGGTGGTGAGGAATGTGCATGACACTTGCAGGCACAGTTGCTTGGATTCAGTCTGATTTGAATGGTGTAGTTGATACAGGTTCTGTGGATGTAACTTTTGCCCCTGTTTGTCCCACTATGGAGACGTTTGCAGGACCCTTGCCCTTCCTGGCTTATAAAAACAGCCAGAGGGGAAACAGCCAAGTGGGTACAGGGAGTGATAAAAGCCTCCTCACAGCAGGGTTGGATCGTAGCATGTTTAAATGAGGGAGTAGTGAAATCATTATTGAAAGATCCCTCCTTGAATATTGGCCACTCTCAAATATTCCGTTTCTGGACAAAGTATTGGAGCATGTGGTGGTTTCTGAGCTCCAAGGATTCTGGGATGAAATAGATTATCTAGATCCGTTTCAGTCTAGCATCAGGGCTATGAGAAGGAAACAGCTTTGGTGGATGACGTATGCTAGGAGCTGGACAGGGAGAGAATGACCCTGTTGGTTCTGCTGGACCTCCTAGTGGCTTTCCGTACTATTGACCATGGTATCCTGGTCCCTCTCTGTGGGATGAGACTTGGGGGCACTGTTTTATAGTGGCCCTGGTTCTTTCTGGAGGGGAGAGCTCAGGAGGTGGCACTGGGGGTATTCTTGTTTGATGCCCTGGCCATTGACCTGTGGCATCCCTCAGCGTTCTGTTTTGATCCCCATGCTATTTAACATTTTTAACATTTACATGAAACTTCTAGGAGAAATTGTGAAAATGAAGCCCCTTTTACCCAGTGGGTAGGAGAGTATAAAATGTTACTAGGCTTCTTACAAGTATAATTAATGGGAAGATTTATTTAAGACAAAGAACATAGAGAAATTGCAAATGTATTTTGTTAGTTCAAAAAGGCTGAAACATTTTAAGTAGAAATCGGAAGATTAACATTCCATGAAGAAAAGAATAATTCACAAAAATCATACATAAATTTTCCCATGCAAAGCAGATTATGATTCTACTCTCAGTAAAGCCATTTGAATAGATACAGCCCCAAACAAACTAAATTAACACTTTAAATGAAATCTCTGTGGCATGCAAAATTATGAGATGAACAGGTGCTTTAAATATATTATCTTGCACCACCTAAATTCCCTCTAGCCCTGACTTCTTGAAGGAGACCTAATAGTTTTCAACTCTATGGTACAGAGCATGCCAGGCCCTCCTGTCTTCCACTGCCTCCCGGAGTTGTGTCAAATTCATGTTGGTCGCTTCAATGACACTGTCCACCCATCTCATCCTCAGTTGTCCCCTTCTCCTCTTGCCGTTGCACTTTCCTAACATCAAGGTTTTTTCCAAGGAGTCTTCTCTTCTCATGAGATGGCCAAAGTACTGGAGCCTCAGCTTCAGGATCTGTCCTTCCAGTGAGCACTCAGGGTTGATTTCCTTTAGAATTGATAGGTTTGTTCTCCTTGCAATCCAGGGGATTCTCAGGAGCCTCCTACAGCACCACAGAAATTAGAACAGAAACTAAAATATTGTATCTATGTAATCCAAAATATGGAGGCAAAGAGCTTGGTTCTCTAGGTCCAGATAAATCCAGCAGCCTCAGATTCCAGATAATGGATCCTGGAAGTATTCAGTAGGAAAGTTGTTTGGGAGGAGGATGGGTGAGGGAGAGGGAAAGTCCTTCTGCTTTGGAAAAGGAAAGGGATCAGGAACCAGGATTTAGAGACAAGGTTGAGGGAAGAAAGCTTCTTCTCTCAGGATGCAGTGGCTTTTTGTTTAATTGACCCCTTTAAAGTTTCCTGCTCTCTGATTGGCTTCTTTACTTTCTTCTCCAGTTGCTACACACGAGATGATCCTTCACTGGTTAATAACATGGATAACATAAATAATCTTGTTTTCAGGGCTTTACAAAACCCTAGACAGTATATTTCTGTATAAGGAATGTCTCAAGCTCATTGGGTAGCAAATTTCCAGGGGTCTATGCATTATTTTCTTACTAATCCATTTTGAGGTGCTCAAAGAAACTGTGTCAGCACCATGAAGTTTGTTCCCAGCATCCTATTTCTGGGCAGCTAGCATTTCCTGCCCTATACAGGAGCCAGACCTGCATCTGAACTATCTTCTTGGCCCTTTTTCTGGCTTGTTCCCCTTTTGAACCCCCTGTTTTCCAGATACAGTATGACTTGATATCCATCTCTCCTTCCCATCTCATTCTTAGGAAGCTTTCATGGTTCTAAACTCCTGCCTGGTGTTAGTTATGAGCTGGATGAGGGCAAACAAACTGAAACTTAATCTAGACAAGACAGAGGTATTCTTGGTCAATCAGAAGGTAGATGAGGGAATAGGGATACAACTTGTTGTGCTTCACTCCCAATGAAAACTCAGGTCCACAGCTTGGGGGTACTCCTGGATTTATTCCCGAACCTGGATGCCCAGGTTTTGCCAGGTAAAACTGCTGCGCCAATTGGACCCTTTCTTCAAAATGTCTGATTTGGCTAAAAGGACACTTGCCTTAGTTACATCCCACCTGAATTATTATAATGTGCTCGACAGGAGGCTGCCTTTGAAGACAGTTTGGAACCTTCCACTGGTTTAAAATGCAGTTGCCAGACTACTGACTGGGGGGCAGTTATAGAGAGTGCATAATGCCTTTGCTACAACAGCTACACTACCAGTCCATTTCCAGGCCCAACTAAAAGTGCCGTTTATTACTTATAAAGCCGATATGGTTTGAGTTCAGGCTATCTGAAGGATTATATCTCCCCATATGAGATTTCCCAGTCCTTCAGATTTTCCAAGAAGCTTTCCCTTTGGTTCCATTGCCATAGCAGGCATCTTTGATGGGGACATGAGAAGCATGAGAGAGGGCGTTCCCGGTGGCTGTTCCCAGGTTGTGGAATGCTTTCCTTTGGGAACTTAGGTTAGACCCCTCCCTTTAATCCTTCCACCAACAGTTGAAGACCCACCTCTTCAGGCAGGCTGTTAATAACTATAACTGAGTCCCCGGATGCTGGTTTTTAGCTAAGTAAGTTCATTTTTATGCTTTAAATGTTTATAATCACTTAATGGATTTTAATTATTATTATTATAGTTTATTTGCTTTTAAATGTGTGATATACTGTGTTTTTAACTTTCCCTTGTTTTAACATTGTGAACTGCCTTGAGTCCCCCCATTGAGAGAAAGGTGGCCTGCAAATGATACTTATTAAACAAAAAAAAAACCCCCAAAAAACAAAGCAAGCTGGCCAGTCCTGGGAGGCTTCCCATCATTATTGGTAGTGCTGGGCTTGGATTAGCCTCATTCCCTTGCCATGTGGAGCAAAAGGAGTTGATGAGGCTGTGACCCCCCCCCACCAAGCAGAAACAACGTCACCAGCCAGCCAGTGTGGAGATGGCTGATAAATCTTAATGGCACTGAATGGGCAGTAATGTTTTTCTTGCCAGAGGGGCAGCTTCAGTGGCTGCATTTTTGCCACATGTCAAGCCCCAACCTGACGCTGTCAGTAGCTCGGAAACTTCCCAGCAACTAGCTAGCTGGGATGGAAGCCCAAGTGCAGTTTGGAAATGGCACCAATGCACATTTTTTAAAAAACTGCTCCAGGTCTTGCATCATGCAAAATGACTGAAGTTGCTATGAAGTAACGTTGGTGTAGTTGTGGCCCAGGTAAGTTTCTCTGGAAAAGGAGTTCCATGAAAGCAGTTCCAGCACAACAAAATTCCTCCCACTGTTCATCAACAATCTCATATTTGGGTTTGGCTGACTTAATGTTGCAGGGGAGACCAGATCTTAAAGAACCATTCTTAGTAACATTTTCCTTAGGTTCAGAAGAATTTGAGCTACTGATGGTCATTAACGTTATTGTTCCTTCAGGTTATTTATGTGGCCAGAAACCCAAAGGATGTCTTGGTTTCCTATTATCATTTTTCCAAAGTTTTTCTTAAAATGGGAGAAGCAGAAGAGCTTGACACTTTTGTGGGAAAATTTCTGGCTGGCAAAGGTAATAATTATTTGAACTCTTTGAGATGTTAATATATAATGCGACACATTATTGTACTATTTATTGCTGTGTGGGAGTTATTTACAGCACACATCCAATGAGACCTGCTAATAATCAAGCTGAAAAGCACCTTAAAATATGCTTCCATCTTCATGCAATCATTTTGGGTCATCATAGAATAAATACCTTGTCCATTTCAACTTGCTGGTTTGAATTCAAATAGTTGTTTCAGGTTTGGTTCCCCCCCTCTATACTCTCTCCTCTCTCTCTCTCTCTCTCTCTACACACACACACACACACACACACACACATACATATATACACACACATATATACACACACACATATATATGCCTATATATGTATATGTATATGTGTGTGTGTATGTGTGTATGTATATACTGTATGTATATATATGTGTATATATGTGCATGTGTGTGTGTGTGTGTGTGTGTGTGTGTGTGTGTGTGTGTTTGTGAGGAGGAATTAAAGAACCTTCTAAAGAGAGTGAAAGAGGAGAGTGCAAAAAACGGTCTGAAACTCAACATCAAAAAAACTAAGATCATGGCCACTGGTCCCATCACCTCCGGGGAAATAGAAGGGGAAGATATGGAGGCAATGTCAAATTTTATCTTCCTGGGCTCCATGATCACTGCAGATGGAGACAGCAGCCACGAAATTAAAAGATGCCTGCTTCTTGGGAGGAAAGCGATGACAAATTTTGACAGCATCTTAAAAAGCAGAGACATCACATTGCCAACAAAAGTCCGAATAGTCCAAGCTATGATTTTTTCCTGTCGTGATGTATGGAAGTGAGAGCTGGACCAGGAAATCAACCCTGAGTGCTCACTGGAAGGACAGATCCTGAAGCTGAGGCTCCAGTACTTTGGCCATCTCATGAGAAGAGAAGACTCCTTGGAAAAAACCTTGATGTTAGGAAAGTGTGACGGCAAGAGGAGAAGGGGACGACCGAGGATGAGATGGCTGGACAGTGTCTGCGAAGCAACCAACATGAAATTGACACAACTACTGGAGGCAGTGGAAGATAGGAGGGCCTGGTGTGCTCTTGTCCATGGGGTCACGAAGAGTCGAATACGACTAAACGACGAAACGAAACGAAACGTGTGTTTGTAATGTAAGAGCAGCAGACAGTTTCAGTGAAATTTCTAGCATTACCTGCTCAGTAACAAAGTCTACTGAAGCTTGACCCTTCTGAAAGCCATGTGAATTCTCCCCCCTCTCTTTTGACTTGGCCGTACATAGACACTCCACATGGCAGGGATTCTTTGTGGCTATGGTGACCTACAGCTTCCTCCCTGAGAGAGACAGATTATTGCATGTAGGTGATGGGCAGAGGAGGCTGTCTTCACCCGCAAAGTGAATTACAAGGTCCCTTTGCTGTAGAATATTTTGATCCTAATAAGATCTTGCACATCCTTATATCTAACTTATAGCCAAGGCAAAGATGTTGGCAAGCCTTTGGGTCTGAGTCCCAAGTCTGAGTCCTTGATACTGAGTTCCAAGTCACGAGCCCTACGTTTGAGTCCCTAATAAAAACAAGCTTTTTCCCCAGAAAAAGGAGAGGGGTGGGTGAGTTCCGAGTCATGAGTTGAGACTGCTTCTCCTTTTTAAAAACCCTCTGCTCTTTCAATGTATAGTTCTCCTTTGGAAAGGGAAAGAGGAGGAGGAGAGAAAGCTCGGACCTCAGAGTTTGTTTGTTTGTTTTTAAATAAAAGTAAGGGGCAGCAGTGCCCCAGGAAACATCAGAGGAAATAAATTGATTCCACAGTGTAGCTGGCCCTAAGAGAAAGAAATGAATCGGTAATATTAAAACAAATGGGAACATTCATGCCAGTATATATACCACGTGGTTGTGATTCAAAACAACAGAGGTCTGAAAAGAATCAATAGATCCGGAGTTCATTTGGCTCGTGTGATCAGGCCTTCGTACTAGCAAAGGTGGGTTTGCCAGTGGCTTTATAGTTAAAATAGCACAACTTAAAAGCAGAAGGAGAGTAAGAAGGTGTCAGTCTGTTTGAGAAATTGATCCAGCCGCTGGAGGGTCCCTGACCTTGAACAGCGAGGCTGGCCTTGCCCTCCACCCGGGATAGCGCGAGAAGGGCCAACGCGACTTCCGGGTGGGAGGGGAAAGCCCTGGTATTTAAAGGGCCTTCCCCTTCCGGAACGCCATCTTCTTTGCAGGCACCGAGCTGGAAAGAGCGTGGCCGGCGAGCAGCGACTTTTTCATTGCGAGGTTCACATTGGGATTACTGTTCATTGCTGGATTACTGTTGCGAGTAAAGAGGAAGGGGACAGCAGCGGAAAGGATCGGAGAGCAGAGCGCGGCAGCCCAGCTGTACCGGATCGGGAGAAGCAACGGCTCCTCCCACAGGCTAAGTACAAGGCGTCGGAAAGGGAACCCTAGGCGGGAAAAGGGCGGCCCCCGGGAGGAAGCGTAGACTACCAGCTTTTCAACGGGCACCCGTCCCTTCCGCCCCCCCCTCCACCCCTCGCTTCGGCTCCTTACTTTGATAAGCCCCGGGAGCCTCCGTTGCTTTTCTCCTCATTCGGCGCCGCGCCAAGGCGGTCCTTTCGGCTCGCTCGTGCATAGGGGCGGCGGCGAATTTTTTACAGTCCCTGACCGCGCCGCTAGGAAGCGGCGCCGCAAGCGCTCTGGTTCCTTAGTCAGCTTAACCACTCGGGAGCCGCAGGGATAGCGACACGCGCTTGCGGGACC